GTGGGTCACCGACCTTGTTCACATGGAAACGTGATACTTTCAAATATAAAAACAGTAATCAGACATATTTACTGATCTAGTTTATTGTTATTGCGAAGTGTTCACTACCAATAATCACATAATACACTTAAATTTACACCAGAAATGTGATTTCTTGCAATGGGAACTTGTGGTATATGGGAACAGCTATTTATTTTATGTACACGACCTCTGCTGTGTAGCCAATGCAGCCATTTTCCCAACTAACACGTAAATTTCGAAATGTTATCCTTCATAAAATTAACAGACATAGTGTATGAATGGATTAAAAATGGGGTAAACAACATACACAAATGTATATTATTTGATCGAAAATAGTTTTGTCGGTTTATGAACTTGACAAACGAGATTAACTGTTGTTATAATGTCAAGTGATGAAACTCGGGAATATTATTTGTCAATGCGAAGCCTCTTACAAGATTCTGCCTGTTTGGGTACCCAGCCCTAACAAATGACAGTCAGATCAATCACAGAGAAGCTTGCTTGTTGACATTTTTTTTTCTGGGTTAGAAATATGCTTCGTATTTGCTGATAGGTCACGATAGGCTTTTTATTAATAAACAACCAGCCGCTCAGTTTAAACTTTAAGTTATGAACATTGCACATTGTGGGGTATTATTATTGAATGGATATTTTACTCAACTATGAAAGCCATTGTCCGTGATACACTTTGTTTAACTACACTTTTGTCCAAACACAAATGTGAACATGAAAATATTATAAATACTTTACTTGGGTACAAGTAAGTCACATTCGCCAACATTCCATACCGGAGTTGGAAATCGCAGCCTATACGAGGAAATGCCATCAATCACTGTTAATGTGTGTTTTTAATGTGTCTGACTCAATACCCGGCCTTGCGTTCCCCCTTATACGAGAGAATGCCATCAATCAGTGTCAATGATTGTGTTCACTGTGACCAACTTAGTACTCGGTCTTATCTAGGGGTTTTGTGATCGACAATATCTGCTGTTTTGTGTAAATGTCTGAACGATTTTCATTTATTGCATTTCTAATGGTGTTATACGAGAATTTAAATTAATCTATTAAATTAAAATTAAATATTATATATATACTTTTTCGTTTGTGTATACTTGGTTTTCATAAAACAAGCATACTCTACCCGTTTTAAAGTTGACTGACCCAATTGTACCGACTGACACGTGTCAGTATATGTACCTCCTTTCAAACAACAACGAGCACATGAGTGTATCGTTGCCATTCGCATAACTATACATTTCAAGGTACGTTAACTGGTACGTATGTTCATACATACATGTAATCGCTAGAGTTGAGTTTTCCTCGGTCAGGTTCTAAGCTGGATTGAAATGTCAGGTGTATGTTTTCCATGACTAAAAATAAAATCTTCGTCAATCATTGCGTCAAACATTCATGTCTTAACTAAATCATTGGACTGGCCTTAATACAGTGTTACGACGCCAAACAAGTAGTGTATATTTATGACAAAAGTACTACAGCAAGAATATACTCAAAAAGAACCAATTTTTTTCTCTATTTTCTGTCCATCAACCGACCGTGTCAGGAACGCGCTAACCTATCACGCTAACAGTATTGCTTTGTTCAAATAGTCATGGTGTATACAGTGTCACCTCTTTTTGTAGTGGTGCTTCACCCTTCAATGCAATTAGCATCACTGGGCTATTGGTATTGAGGAGACCTGTTTATTTTTTTTATAATGTTTGTTGTTGATGTATCGTATATTGAATAATTAGACTCGCTCATTCCGAAAATCCTTATAACAAACCTCAATAATATACAACGTGTGTTTACTTTATTCGTAAATAAATAAATAAATAAATACATAAATAAATAAATAAATAAATAAATAAATAAATATTTGACATGTTTGTATTACAAACTAAAGAATACTTCTATGTCATTTAGTTGTGAAACAATTATCAAGTGTTATTTAATGTATTCGGTTATATTTAATTATCGTGTTCACATCTGCTTTCATGCCGGTGTATTATAAAAGGTGCTTATAAGTGCAGTATCCGACACTGGGTCTGAGTTACACAGTCAACTACATTTATGTTCATCGTATAAGGTACTCAAATTATGTGTCAATTGGTCAAGCAGTTTATGTTGTTGGTAATGACCTGTATAATACAATACGTAATGTGTACACCCACTCTCTCAGAATCTACTCAATCTACATTACTGTTGCATATATACTATATAAATATATTATCTTTCAACAAAATCTTTAACAACATTGCCTAGAGTACAGTGTATACTTGTGTTATATTTGTCACTAAATATTAGCTTACATGAAAACATACAGGTATGTAATAATTTGTAGCTTTGATTGTTCATTGTCGCTTAGATAAATAGCTCCAGATATCATGAAATCCTGCACGAAATATAAAACATGCAATTAAAGTGAAAGATAAGTCTAACAACATTATACACCCAGATGAAAGAGCTTGGCAAATGTTATTTACAGTTTTTTTTTTATATCACTTTTCCTTCTCTAGATATTCAACTTCTCATCAGTTTATGTAGTACACCATCTTGGTTCTTCAGCAAAGGATTATGGGTGTATGACATCATATCCACTGTTAATATATATTTCATCTGGGAGCATTATGTCGTTTGACTTGACTTTTCCTTTGTGCTTGACCAGATCTATCTGTGATATCTATCCACTATATACACTGTACTTATAGGGGGAAAACAACTTACTGGCAATGCATCTAAGGTTACCAATCAACTCGACTGATCGCCAAACATTTGATTTATGTTACTCCCTACATGTGCAACACATGTAACGTTTTATGGCTTTAAAGCTTATTTAAGCCTAGTAATTTATTTTTTATTAGCGTTTAGAACACACCTGCAATACGAGACAAAGTCGCAAGAGCAAGCAAGTCTTCCAGGCACGGTACAAACTTTAGACAGATAAAAACACGTTTTTTAATGCCAGTGGTTAAGCATTCTGGAAGTCAATTATGCCCTAAAAAATAATCTCCCATGAGTGATACCTAATATAACGGTTATTTTCTTCTCGCATGATAACAACTAATTCAGTCATTACAGTGGCGGTGTGGCAGTTCTTTTGCGTGGCGTATTTTCATTGAACCGCAGTTTAAACAAAAAATAATGATTCTTTACAAAATGGATAAGCGAGATTGCAGTCCTCAGGTACGCGGACCTAACAACTGTGAGTATTATTTGGTATAATCCCCAACATTTTTTTAAATAACAGAGAATCTAACAACGCGAAAGCAGATCATGAAAACTAAATCACAGGTTGTTCTCCCTCGTCACACAGACCAACGCAATTGTGTTGAAACAAATGTATAATAATAATAATTATTCGCATACAATTTTCTCCATTTAATTATTTTCATTGTTTTCAACTGTTTTTGTTCTTTAATTCACTCGATAAATGTTTTTTTTTCTGGCAGTTTTATATTTTGTATATTTTGCAACATTTCATCTATTCCACTTTAACTATGCATCGACTATTGTGAAATGAAATTCAGAAATATTATTGGCACTGCCATCATTAATTTGAGTAAGACAAGCAAGATTTCTATTTTTAATAAGTGTATATATATGGTTATTATTTTGTTGATGCCTGGCATTTACTGTTTTATACAGTGTTGTGTAATTGTTCAGCAGCGTCTACTTGTGTATGTATATATTTTCATGAATATGAACATTGCAACTACACCTGTATAGACTTTAAACGGTGTAGTATTAGTGTTTTTTTTTTTGGGGGGGGAGGTATTAATGCTACACGCTAGGTGTGTTGGAAGTTCACATGACTGTCGCAGAATGGGTTTGCAATTAAGATATGTAACACTCTCTGGTCGCCGAGAACTATATTTGAAAACACTTTGAATTTTTCGGATCAGTTTGTCGTAATCAAACAATTTAGCCGTTTATGTTTTTCAATCGTGAGCGATAGTAGCTAGAAGCGACATTATGAGACGTGCTGCTGGAAGAGTTGGTTTGTACTCACTGCTAGATATCTCACTTCTATGTCGCTGTTCGTCGTCTTATTCTACGCATCTGAACTTAGTTTTCATAATAACCGGTTCAGTAAATCGGATGCGCGAGTAAAAGCGTAAAATTCCGAATGTTAACGTGACACACGCAACTGATGGATGACGTCACCACTGTTTTGAGCATGACACAGCAATTCTACGAAATTCTTACGAGTAAGGTCGGTCTCATGACGTATATTATTCCATGTCTGTTAATGTTATGTAATAACAAATACATATGTTAAATAAAAGAAGACTTTTTCCCACACCAGGGGATAATTATATAGTGTTTCACAGTTATAATACTATGACAGGCTGAATGTAGAAATACTTGTTAACACAGTAACATATTAAGTTAGACACTTATGAGTTCGTCACACTATGAATTCCTCTCTACTGGCATGCTTCTCAGAATTTTACTAACATATGTTATATGGAATTATCCACCAATGTTAAATATCTGTGCATAATTTCAAGAGAAAACCAGTATTCTATGTAATATCGTGTTTTAAGACTATAGATATATACTCGTTTGAATTACAACAATTTCAACCACCGTGAAATACATATAATGTTACGAACAAAGTAACTCGCCAACTTTGTGTAAAGTCCATCAAATGCAGGTATTTCGCAAAGAATCAGCTACATATACTTACAGCTACATATGATTACAAAACACTGGCATTCGTCCAAGTATGTATGTAGTAGACTGTAGCAGCGCATGTTAATTTCACACAGCGACCTTTTATTGAATTAGTCATAACACGTGATCTATCATACCGCGACAACGTGATCTAGCGACAACCCTACTTTTGCAGTTAGTTCAATTTTAACTGGGATTGTTGCTAAAGTGAATTGGCAAAATTTAGCATAATGCAATAAGGGCATTATGAATACCCAAGAATAAACTTTATTTAAATATAACTTTTGCTTAATTAAATTTACTTGACCTATATGTATTTGATGACTGATGTGGACCAGCCATCGTTATTGTTATTATTTTATTATGTTACAGATAACTGTAGATGAGTTAGCCTGTATTGATGATCATCATTTACTTGGAGCGCCATCCTTTGCTTTGTCAACGGAAGAGAAAATTAGTTTTGAAATCTGTGCCAGTGATCAATGAGTTTTTCATATTCATTCTGTTTATTGTAGGTACTGTACATTATTACCTAACACTAATAACAATAATGCCGAATAGGCAACAAGACCCACGAGACAATGGGGAGATTCATCGATGCACCAGGTGCGAGCAAATCCTCAGAAGCCCGGAGCCAACATCTTGTGGGCATAGGTTTTGTGAGCCGTGTCTAAGAGTTCTGGCAACTCGTAGGTAAACAAAGGATATGAATTGTATTTTGTTATGCACATTAAATGATTCATTATATTATGGCGTTTCCTAGTACTTGTGTACCGTATTATTACCTATAGACTGAGTTATAATATTCTTCATTTTAGAATGCCTGGTAGACCTCTATGCCAGATATGCTCAGATGATTGTGTAGCTGAAGATTTCACGAAGTGTGATTTAGCTCAATCAATGGTGTGTATAACGAAAATCCCATGATTAACACGATATGTGTTGACTGCTTGCTTAGTACTTGAATGATCCTACTATGTATACTCTTAATGTATATTGTTCACTATTCAGATGAAGTCTTTTTCGTTGTGTTACATATATACAACATTTTTTACTACAACTTTCAATGTTAGCGAAAATTAGTATTTGTTTTCAGGCCTGATTGAGTTCATATTTTGAACATTCATGGGACACATGTGCACGCACGTTAAAGGTCATGGTTTGATTCAAGTTATCTGGTGCATAGTTGTTGAACAATTTACCAAAAGCAGCATTCCATCCTTTTGTAACCTGATGCAAGGCACTCGTGTAATGATTGCTCTTGGTGAATAACCTGTCGCATACATTTATCAGTGATAGTATTTACCTTGTGTACACATTTAATGCTATATATTGTTGTAAACGCATGGCGACTGTACACATCTACATTACCAATCAATTTATTGACCACACACATATTAGGTATATGTTTACTTTCATTTACAGAACATGCAAAGAAGTTGCTCGGCTACTTACATGCTGAATAGAGAGGCATTGAAAAAAGGATTTAGGGTTGCAAATGAAAGTATGCGAAACAGAGTTCGATTAGAAGAGATAAGTGATGAGATTGAGAAGATGGAGCAGAGGGCTACAGAGCCAGGTGCTTTATTGGAAAAATATGGGATAACGCATACATACAAACGCAAACTACAAACAGAACTAACATCCCTTGAAGAGAAAATCCAAATATTAGAGGATAGTCTTCGATTAACAGAGAGTATTTTGGAATCGCAGGACCAAAAGATGGTCAAGCAAGAAGAACGCCTGCGTGCATTAGAAGAAAATCCGCCAAGCTTTGATGGGAAAATGATTTGGAAGATAACTGGTGTTCAGCAACATTGCGACGACGCACGTGACAACAATGCATCACTGACGTCTCCGTGTTTTTACACAGGCCACGAGGGGTATAAAATGCGCGCTAGATTATATTTGAATGGAGATGGAATTGGTAGTGGAAGCCATTTGTCACTATATCTAATTGTTCAGAAGAATGACCTCGATTTTTTGCTACCCTGGCCTTTCCAACAACAGGTATTGTTCACATACATAACCTAGTGAATTACTATAGTTACAAAAATGTTTTCTATATTGTGTGGAGGTCTACTATGATTTAACACATGAGTCAACACATTTTACATACTATTTATACCATGAGAAGAAACAAATAATATTACGTATTTTTCTTGTATTTTGTAGGTTAATTTTACTTTGCGGGATCTGAACCACAGTGGTAATGATATCGTAGCAATGTTCATCCCCGATCCACCAATTGGTCATCAACAGTCGCCGACTAACGACGTGATCCCTCTACCTGGCTGTCCACAGTTTATGAAGTTAGAAGATTTTGTGGCCGAATACGAGCGATACGTTAAAGAAGATGCAATGTACTTAGAAGTTGAAGTTGATAAGTCAAATATACTTAGATAAAATATTTAATATTTCAATTTTATTTCAATTTGAATTTGATTAATAAAAGATCTTCCATTAAGTTGTAAACTGAGAGCTGAATATGTTTCTGTAGCTATTCCATCTATATTAAAACTGCTGATCCCAGCTACTACGTATGCGACATCATTGGTTTAGCTTCACATTATGTTCGAAGGTTAGAACGCACCTCTAAATTAAGCTTTTGTCGTTTTCAAAAAATATAGTATTTCAAGCAGCAATGTCTTCAGAACACATCGGAGGCAGTCTTACTGGCCAAGCGTTAAAATATAGCATATGCACCATGAGAAGGTCATAGGTTAATATGGTATTCTGATTACTACTAGGAGTTTGATAATAGTATGAACCGTTCATATAAAACGCCATCTTTCTATATATCCCTCATAATGCTACATTATATTGTTATCCAACACGATAAGTATCATGTCTGTCATGTAAGTAGGTTACCATTAACACTGCAACGTGAGTGTTTCTTGGACCCATGACTATAAAAGTCAACAGTTTAAATGCGATCATGTTTTGCAAGTATGTTAAGTAATTGTCAATTGGAGAAAATTCGATTTAGAACAGTGTTTTATCTAAAATACGTCGGCTACACAATTAGTGCAGACAATCCGTTAAGAGAAACACATACAAATACACTTATTGCACAAACGTACAAACATGTATGATTACATCAGCGGGAAACACCTGTTGACCTCGGAGTACAGGCTAATGTATAGTGTGGTAGAAGTGGACAAATGTAGCTCTGTATATTTCACCCCGTATATAAGTCCTAATCAAACATCGGTTGATCTAAGGATAAATGATTTACAGTGGCGATTTAGCTGTTTCAAATTACTAAATGTGTACACAAGTTCACAGACATATACATTTAAAAAGCATTCCCCGCCTTTACAAATAGTGAATGGCGTAACTAATCATGGAGAACTAAAGACCCGCGCTTTTTGTTTTGCAAAAGCATGTCAGTCAGTCAAGCACACCGTGATGAGCTGTTATTGTTGTGAAATATACTTATCGGCATTTCTTGACATGAATATCTGACGTAATATTACCAAACAACTGAATAATTTCATACTTCAACACTGTTAAATTAGTAACTAGTGAAATTTGTCAGACTTAAATTAATTGATGCACTGAATGTTTTCGATTATGTTCATGGATATGTGTGTGTTGTCAGAGCAAAGCCTTTGGAAGACGTTAGCTATAAAATACCAGGCTTTAATATGTGTGCAGAAATTACATCTACTAGAATGCTTTACAGCAATTACTGATAGCGTGAAATCATGGAAACCGGTATTTCGGAAAGTTTACCACAAACTGACAATACAATCAACGTAACTAAATATTGATAATATGTAATCGCATTCACCAATCGAGTGCACTGTTTCGACTGTCACGAGAGTAAAGTCGGGATTCAAAAAGTTATTTATAGTATAGTACGCTTGCTTGACCTATTATATATTCTGTCACTGTTGCCTTTCTGTGAATGTCTGGTTGATTGTACACAGACACATACATCATAACAGCATATTTAAGAAGTCTATGGAATGCCGTTTAGAGCTTACTCGAAGAGGTATCAACGCCCAGTATTTACCTTGCCGAGTGTCGTTGACCCCGTGACTAACACTCTTTATGCTCTAGACAAATCGGTGAGGAAATAAAATAGGGGTTTAGCTTGGTATTACGTTAACAAATGGTTCGGTTTAAACAGGTTTAAGTTACAGTAACTGCAGTATATTCGTATATAGGTGGTTTAAACAGATTTAAGTTACTGCAGTATATTAGTATATAGGTATGTAGAATGTCGGGTTTCAGAATTGCAATCAGACTACCTTACACTAACAACATGGCAAAAATAATCTTTCGTTGAGTGATTTTTAAACAGATACTATTCAATTCAAACATGCTGTATATTCCGTGTACGAAACCACACCTTGTACTAAACTTCATGTACTGAACCAAATGTACTGAATTGTGGACACTCGTGCACCCACCTTAAGAGTAAACTTTAACCATTGAACCACATTCATTTCATAATTCAAGTGATATTATGGTTCCATACTGCGACAAATTCTGTGTCGAACAAGTTTAAACAATGTCGATAAAATATTTGAGGTGTTTACCGCCGAAAGGATCACGTGAGTCACCTAGTGGACAAACTATAAAACGAGATCAACGAACTGGATAAATGCCAAAATGTTACGGGTCAACACTCGCGTCAATCAAAATTCGGGTTGCCTAGCACATATATAATGACAGACATCACCTTCTTATAACAGTATGCTTTATAGTACGACATGTACCACTGACAATATAGAAGTAACGACAATCTGATATCTGCAAAACGATTTAGAAATGTGTTCAATAATAATAATTTATTAATAATATAATAATAATTTATTAATATTATTATTCTTAGCTAATTGCCAGTCGATTATTAAGTTGTGTAATGCATCTCCCGTGTAAATCACAGGCATTCTCTCAATTCTCACCACTGCCTCTAATTAATGACCGAAACTGGCGGAGTTAACGGTTCAACCTTGTCGTCGAATGGCAGATTTTAATTCCCCCTCTTGTCAGGAATATGTGCTGTACATTGTACGTTGGCTGCACTTGATGAGTTCATTTCGCACTCAAGATGAAACAAAAGAAACTAGACCCACAATAATACAGGGTAGTTTTAGCCCTATAAAGTTGACATTCACTTTAGTGTTACTCGGCGTTCGAAATTCAATGCACATCAAAACGGTGGGTTTCAGGCTAAATACTACAGCACATGGAATGAAGATTAGTACCGTAGTCGTAGTTGTAGCTGTATTTGATTCCATTAATGAACTGGACATGCATGCATGTGCATTTAATTAATCCTACAGCTGTGAACATAAGTCGGCAGTACTATGAAACAAGCCATGATGTTTCGCTGACCCAAAAGTCTTAGTGTTGTCGTAGAGCTTTGTTATGTAATGACAGAGGGTAAAAATACAAAAGATTATTTGTGTCTGGAACCCATGTACACAATAAAATACACCTATATTTGGCTGAAAAGGACGACAACTGGGTTACCACAACTTGAATCCCCCTGTTGTGCAGGCATATCACAGCCAGTTTCTTAACTATATTTTTTCCTTCGACTGATTTATAATTCAATTGTACAACGTGGATTAAAATGTCAAGCCATGCGTGTAACGGCCGCCGATGGGGGGGGGGGTTCAATGGGGAGCGTTCGGGCTTGAGACATAAGTGTAACTGTCACACTAAAATCACCATGGCTACTCAATGTTTAATACCTGCACAAATATGACATTTTGAAATGTTAATCACATAATGATCAGTTGTTGCTATACTCTTCTCTACACCACTCGTTGGTGCGTAGCATATATGCAAGGAAGAATTTTCCCGCTGATTGGTCTGACTGTCATGTGTTAGGGCTCAGTAGCCAATCAGACAAAATATTGTAAGTAGGTTCGCCTTGATCCTCCTCGCCCTGGAGGTCGTGACACACATGGTTTCACTTTGTTACTTTACGGTGTACAGTATAGCTGCAGAATTATAAATGAGACAAACAATAAATAAATAAATATTATAAACTGTTTTATAAACTATTGTGACTATAATTAGTAATGAAGTGTTTGAGGGATTGGCAATTTAGAATCATTGTTTTCCTAACTATTTCGAAAAAGTTGAATTGTTCATAGCACTGGCTCTGTTGTTAGTTTCATATAATCAAATTACAAATTACAGTGACTTTAATCAAGCTCATACTAAAATCATTCCGATTTCTTTTCTGGTTTGCCTTCGTTTCGTATTTATTCAGGCCTGTGAATGAATAAAGTAACACATATATTGATATCTGTGCGCGTGTATTCAAAACATACTAAACAATACATATTAATCTGTACGGACAACTATTAGCGTTAGTTTACTCTAATGTGATTGCAAAATATGTTTATTTTTGGAACCTAGGTATAGGATGCATTTCTATAATGAATCAAAATCATTATGTTGCCTTCAAATGGTTATTGAACTTGAATGGTATAACACGATACATAATATATACTACTTCAAACTGCCATGGTATGTGAAATAAACAACACCCTGTGCTATATTTGAAAACTGTTGTAACTAATTTATGCATTTAAAAATCGTTGTGTTGATTCAGAACTTAATTTGCAAATACAGTTCATATTTGGAAACCTTGTTTCAGGGCTGTGTTACTGTGTCTGCGTTCTCCCAAAATCACACACATTAATGAAAGATTCTCACTAGTCTACACCGAACTTCTATGACCTACCAGTGATTCAACAATCAATCACTGAATCATATACAAGGATGGATTCTTTCAAGGTCTGCATTGCAAGAATTATACGATGGGTCGGATATGTATATGCTTTAGGGCTTAAATGCCTTGTTTCTAAACACACAATGAACAATAATAAAATGTTCGACAGTAATGAACGCTACCTGTGAATAATATGATATATTTTGATCATTCAATATTTGATGACATATTAGTCATTGACTGAATATTGGAATTCACTGAATATAAGAGACTTAATATTTAACATTACCTGCAACCAATGAATGTACAAATGATATATCCTTCGAGTAAATATAATAATATATCTTTATCTTGAATAAAAACAGAGAAGCAAGACACGTATAGGTTGCTACTTTGTTACATTTTGTACGTCAACAACGATTTTAAAAAATAGTATATCGTCTTGTATATATCGTTTGTCATCTAACTGAATTTCTAAGTGATTGAACACTGGACAACTGTGTGGGATATCCTTAGTTGTATTCTGCCGTGGAATAAACGACTCTACAGTGTGGTCTTCTCCACCTTGGTGCAATAACATGAACGTTACCTAGATATGGAAATAAAAATGAGAATAATTATATAAGGTTCTCATAAAACTGTCATAGTTCCTGTAATTGCAAGGTATAGTATAATTCCCAGTAGACTTCTGTTTCAAAATTTTGTTTTACACTTTCAAATGTATCGAAGAAAAACGCATACAATTTCCAATTGTTTGATTATAATGTTAAACATAAAAAGTAGCATTTAATGCTTGCCTTCTGTTTGAATGGCCATGGTAGATCGTCATCATATTCGCCGTCTATCAGATGTAACCATAGAGACATCTGGATAGTTCTTCCAGTGCAGGTCATATCTAATTTAACGTACATCTTGTAACCACATTTGCATATATAGAAATTAGGAGACATTCGCTCAGTGGGTGTTACATTGCTCATCTCAGAAACACGGATGACCATCCACACAAATTCACCATTATAACTTGACATCTCAAGCTCCTGGATATATTTTGCCTTTGCAGCAAGCTCGGCATCTTTTAGATTTGTTATGAGACTTTTGGCATGGATTATCTTTGTCAATAATGACGCATGGCAACGCAGTGGGTGTGTACCATCATCCATCTTTACAAT